CGGTGGAAAATAGGTACTTCATAATATCCTCAATTACCCGATACATCATCCCCGCTGAATAACCCCCAACCAAATAACTCATGAAATTTCAAACTGTACTTTTGTTCTGTAATCACATACTATCTGTTTTCCCCCAGGGCAAACAACATCAACTTCTCCACTTCCAACACCAGCTCCCATATCGATTGCCCAAAAGGAGATACTCCCCTCAAAATCAGGACAATCAATATTGGGACTCCACTCAATCCTCTAACACTTCTAACGTACAATGCCAATATCCACGTAAAAATCAAACCACCAAATTATCAAGTATCACATACACCTAAACTAGTGATATACCACACACCCCAACATGGCAAGCTCTAAACTGTAGAAGAATGGAAGACATATGCACCAATCAAATGCATAAATAGCCATAAACTTCTAAATAATGCATATACCGTAAATTGACAAAGGAAGAAAAAGCTTTCGAAATTTTGGTATATCATACCTTCCCCATTTCCAAGTACACTGCTGCCCTATTGGTGAGGAAGGAAATATCCTCATCATCAAGCTCAAAAGCTTTAGTGTAATGCTGGATTGCAGCTTCGAAATCCTTCTTTTTATAGGCAGCATTCCCAGCTTCCTTCTCCTTCTGGGCCTGGGCTTTCCTCTCCTTAACCTCCTTCACTTCCCCTGAAAGCTCCATTGGTTCCGGTTCCGGCTCGGGCGCCTTCTCAGGTCTCTTCTCCTCCTTCACAGGCTCAGCCTCCGCAGGCCTCTTGCGCTCCGGCGACGACTCGGGCATTTCGGTATCTTCTTCTGGCCCACCTCTCGCATTCAACTTCAAGCCCAACAACACCCCGAGAGCCTGCATTACCCTCTGGTCCTTGAGATACGTATTCAAACTGCTGGGATTTTTCTGAATATCCTGCATAGTCCTCACAAAATCAGGCTGCTGGAGCAAAGCCCGCGTTGAGGGATCCGCCGTAAGCTTCGCCCACATCTCCGTCCCGGAGAAAACATCCCCAAACGGGCTTGGAGGTTGCTGCGCGGGCCTGGATCGGGCCTGAGCAGATTGAGCATCAGCAAGCCCAGATTTAAGAGCATCATTATTGGGGTCAATCTCAAGACCCTTGTTGTACGCCGAAACGGCGTCGTCGTAGCGACGCAAACCTAAATGAGCCGCCCCGAGACGGGAATAGCCCTTGGACCAGTCGGGTTTAAGCTCGACGGTTTTCTCGGCGTCGGGGAGCGCGTCGGAATACTTACCAAGAGAAGCATAGGCGGCGGATCGATTGGAGTAGAGGACGTGGTTAGTTGGGGAGAAATTAATAGCCTCCGTGAAGTGGCGGATGGCCTCCTCATACTTTCCGGCAGAGAAGGCGGCGTTGCCCTTGGCCTTGGCTTCGTCAGCCATTAATCAATCAATAAAAGTAATTAGAAAGAAGCTAATCTTGGGTATGGAGGATTAAGCTGCTTCTGTTTTTTTTCTTTCTTTTTCTTTTTGGGGGGAGGTGGGTTTAGAGCAGATGGATTGGCAGATGGGGTTTGGGGACGAGAGGTTTATAAAAAAAAGGAGGACGAGGAGACCAGAGGATTCTAGGAGTCAAGCAGTGACTCCGGACTAAGCAGTGGTGTTCTGGAATGTTCGGCGGGCGGGATTTTGGAATTAAGTTTCTCCTAAGGAAAATAAATATACTTGTTTTTTTTTTTTTTTCTCAACGATAGGAAAAACAAAATACTTGTTGCTAAATACTAAAAGTGGCACAGTCAGACTAGTATTTAATATTTCCAATACTAATTCCACGCAGAGATGGGTTGAGACGCGGATCCTAAACGGGTCATCTTAAACATGGATATTTTTTCTTGGGTTATTTAGCTCACAGTTACAGACATAACTCTCTCTCATCTCTCTCCCTTAGCACTTCATTCTCCGATTGCGGATGGCAACTTTCTTCTCCGGCGACGTCATAAAATTTCCTCCCTCTGATCGGAGAATATCACAGGTTGCTCCACTGACCCCTTAAACCTTTCTCTCTCTCTGCGATTTACCGCTTGGGAACTTTTATGGGATGCTGCTTCAATTGCTCTTAAAGGTCAGTACTGTCATTTACTTGTATGTAGTACTTAAAAATGCATTTTTTTTATTGTTATTGATGAATTTGTCTCTAAATTGGTGATTGCTAGAATTTATGTAGATACAATGGGATTTTATCTATTGAACAATTTTTGCCCCCTCCCCAAAAGAAAAAAAAAAAAAAAAGAACAATTTTGGCCCTTTTCGCAGCTTTTAGCTTTTTGTTCTTGTACGCATTCTTGAGTTGATTTAAATGGGTTCTTTCTTTCTCCTTGACGGTATTTGATTTTCACATGTGCATGTATGAGCTTTGCTTTTTACCTAGGTTATTATTATTATTTTTTTTTTTGGTAACCATTTGTCAATGGGGTTTGCCCTCAGGAGTCAGGTGGGTGTGATTGGAAAAGAAAGATTCTATAATTTGGTTAATGTGTTTGAATAAGAAAGATATGGCAATTAACGTGTAAAAGAGCAGATATATGGCATATTAACGAAAAATAAGTTTGGAGACATCATATCTTTTGGCTCATTGAAGATTTATACTATTTTACCTGATAAGAACTTTTCTGAAATAGTTTGCTTGAGTAAAGTAAAGAAAATTCAGTAATATGGATTTGGACATGGATTATATTCAGTAATATTCATTCTTATACTTGGTTAGTCTTAAGAGCTTCAGTTTTCTTACTAAAGGATACTCAGGTTGTTCTTTAATTATCAACTTAAAATGCTAATTGTGCTTTGAATTTTACTGGTCAGCCGGGTTGAGTTAATTAGAAAAATTATAGATCCTACTGGACTATGTGCGCTATTGTTAAGCAAGAAAAATGATCTCTACATTTGTTGATACTTGCCTCTTAATATATGTAAGCTTTCAGTTGTGCTTTTTTAGTTTCAAGATTATGTCTTGGATGTATGGTAATAGTGTCCAATCACGTACAGCAATTCAAGTCAGACTCATGGCTGATTAATGAAAATCTTCAATGAAGGGTCAATTTAAGCAAAAGCCTGGCAGTTAATTCTTAGTCGTTTAAGTAAAAATACTTGCTCTCTTCCCCTTCATATCAACATAGAATACTTGGTTTAGAAACTTGAGTTTCACTTTCCATTTCTGTCATTGTGTTTGACTGATTTCCTTCTTTGTCTTCTAATTTGTATTGAAGTATTTAGCTTCTGACTTTCTAATTGCCATTGGCAGAGAATCATTGTTTACATCAGATGAGTGGTGCTTCTACATCTAGTGGCCTAAGAGCGGCCTTCTCCTATTGTGTGCAGCAAGTACGAAATTATGATTATCCTCATTACCTTTGCCTTCTTGAACTTCCGCCAAACATGCGAAGGGCTGCCTTTGCATTACGTGCTTTTAATGTTGAAACAGCTAGAGCTATGGATGTTGCTTCTGATCCTAAAATCGGCCTTGTGCGCCTACTATGGTGGCAAGAAGCCATAGACAAAATTTTCTCCCACGAGTTAATTGAGCATCCGGTTGCCCAGGCTTTAACATCTATCCGTTCTGAGCATAAAATAAGCAAAAGCTGGCTGAAAAGATCAGTGGAAGCTCGCATAAATGATGCCAAAAGAGAGGTTACTAACATTCCAGAAGCTATTGAAGAACTAGAGCGATATGCTGAGGATACTGCATCCACACTACTGTACATAACCCTTCAAGCTGGTGGTATTACATCCACTGCTGCAGATCATGCTGCATCACATATAGGCAAGGCTAGCGGTCTCCTTGTGCTGCTCAGGTCATTGTCTTACCATGCCAGTCGCAACCGTCATTTTTCCTACATACCTGCTCAGGTGGCGGAGAAGCATGGATTGCTGGTGAATCAGGGTGGTCGGAGAGAGATTCAAATTGATTCTCGTGAGGGAATATGTAATGCAGTTTTTGAAATAGCATCTGTAGCCAATGTGCATTTGCTAAAAGCCCGTGAGTTGTACGGAACAGTGCCTGCCGAGGCTCGGCCTGTACTCCTACCTTCTGTGCCTGCTGAGGCCATTTTGGATTCTCTAAGCCGTGTGCAGTTTGATGTGTTTGATCCAAGGCTGAATCGAGGGATTTTAGGGACTCCTCCTTTGTGGTTCCAGATAAAATTGAAGTGGTATTCTTGGAGAGGAAAATACTGAAAGCTACTAAAATTGGTGATGTGCAAATTAGTTAGAATTCTTGCTGGATGGATGGAACAAGTATAAATTACAAAAGGCATGAATTCCCTTGGCTTCCTGGCACACTTACCTCATGATACTGGTAGGAATAAGTATGAGAGTCGAGTAACTATGATTATAGTGCCCGGAGTAGATTTATTTGTTTCCTTAATATTTTGCCAATAAAGGCGGTTATCTTCCATGCCACTTCAAATGAGAATCCACAAGGCTACCCACAATAAAGGAGTTTTTGCTTATAGAATCCACGAACTAACTTCATTAGGTTGCCAACCAATTTTGTCTTCGGTTGAAGCAATAGTAGAATGCAAGACATACTGGATCTATGGCCATATCTTGTCATATACTGCCATTTATTTTTTTTATTTAATATTTTTTTAAATAAGTAATATTTCTATATTTCAAGCTCAAGGTTTTCCCCTGCTGCCTACGTATACCGTACCACCGTAGTACTCGACAGTTGTATATATTTTCTCCGTCTCATTTTGATAGTCTCATTTTCTTTTTTCGTTTGTTTCAAATTGTAGTCTACTTTTCAATTGAAGAATGTAGTTGTATTTTAATTTTCTTAAAATATCCTTATTCAATGTAAGTCATTGTTACTATAAATTTACTTCATTTAATGAGAGTTGATTTTTTTTTTTACCATTAATTTAAGTTCCCATAAAGTTGTATCATATTTAATGTGAGGGTATTTTAGAAAAATAGCAATCTAAATTTACTTTTCCAACAAAGTTAACTACTTTTTCTTAAACTGTGTGAAAAAGAAATGGAACTATCAAAGTGAGACGGAGGGAGTATCAAGGAAGATCTCAATAGGTTTTTGGTTGAGGTACACTTCTCTGCATGAAGTTGATTTAGGAGACTATGGCCCTGTTTGGAAGCTTGGTTTTTTACCAAGTTTGTATAAAACTAGTTTTTTAACAACTTTTGCTACAGGAACCCCAAAAAACTTATCAAAATTTTTAAACTACACACTTAAAATATCCAAAACACAAAAAAAAAAAAAAAAATTCCCTTCCTCTTTTCTTCTTCTTCCTCCCCACCACCACCTCCATTGCCGGCTTTCATCCACCAATTTTCGGCTGCCGGTTGCCGGTGCGGCGGTCTTTTCTTTCCCATTTTTTTTCCCTCTCCCCCTCTTCCTTCCCCTGCCATCATTCTCTCTTGTTTTTTTTCTCTCTACGCTCCGCGTGCAGCAAGGGGTGGCGCAGAGAGGGGCGACGCGAGGAGGGGCAGAGGGGCCCGACAGCGGGAAGAGGGGGAAGGCGCGGTGAAGCAGCAGATGGCAGCGGTGCTGCGCAGGAAAGGCGGGCTGCGGGGGGCGAAGGCGGGGGAGAGAGAGGCGGCGGGGGAGAGGGGAGAAAGGGAACAGGCAGGGGGCGGGGGAAGGGCAGAGGGGGTTGCGGGGGCAGGGGAAGGTGGAAGGGGTAGACCTGAAAATACCATTTGGGCTGGTTAAAGATTGTCTATTAACTCCATTGTTGTCCACAGGGACGACGGATATCTTCTCCCGGGTACCCGGCCTACACTTATTGCATGAGATCCCACGGTCGTCTTCCCCGGCAACTTCACCATTCTCCAACTTTTTTCTGGTGCTCTTTTCTTTGCTTCTCTTTTCTGAAGAATTTTGATGCAATGGCGTCAGGCTGTGGTGTCTCGGGTCAGTTGAATCACTAGGGGTCGTCGCTCTGAAACTGCTTCGCGACAACTCCTCATCTTCGTTCCCTTCTTCAATCTTCAGCAAGAAAAAACAAAACAAAGAAAATAAAAAAGTGCAAATTTTGTCAAGAAAACAAAACCCAACACGAAGAAAAGAATATATTAGAGAGAAAAACTTACAGGAGTGAACTGAGGAGGGTGGTGAGGAGAAATAGATGGTCTCGAGGAGGAAGAAGTGGCCATAGGATTATTCATGGTTTCTTTCATATGCTTGGCTTTTCACCAGCTAGAGAAGATAAATCATAAATGTAGCAGTAGTAGCACGAGAAAAGTTTTGTGGGATGGACGGACCGGTGGATAGATTTATTTTTCATTTTTTTGGGATGCTTCATTATCTTATCGTTGTCTATCATTTTCTTTATGGATGAATTTTCGTCGGTTTGTAATCATGGTTCTGTATGAAATTTTCACAGATTTTGCAGTCACTGACCCAATAAGTATTTCATAATTATGAGCTCCATGCCACTAATCGAATTGTGTAGGAGCAGAGTTACTGCAGTTCCCACGCGCTGCCGCTGGACTAATGGTCAACTACCACACGCCTTCATGAACCAAGGTTCAGCAGCAGTCCGCATCTGATTTCTCATTGCTTTCGTGAGATCCACTCTCTTACCTTGGCTCGAGAATGTTTGCATAATCCAAAAACCAGGGAAAATGAAAAATGAGAGAATAAATACTAAACAGCCAGGAGAAAACAAATTGCAAACAGTAAAAGAGCTGCACTGGGATTTAATTCTAAAAAGCTTTTGTAAATGGTATAATATCTTGAATTTTGTAACTGATGAGTATCATTAATGTAGTAGTAATAAAATATCTTTTTAATAAAAAAAATGTGGTAGTAATTAAAACATAGTATCTAAATACTAGTAGTAACTGTTTTTTTGGGGTGTTTTTGAAAAATTTTGTTGTAACAGAGTTTTTAGAGTATATTTTTGAATATTTTTTAAAAATATTTGGAATATTTAAAAGTATAAGAGTTTTTAGAATATATTTTGAGATATTTTTTAAAATTCTTAAAAATTCAAATTAATTTTTAAATTATCTTTTAGAGTATATTTTAAAAAATTTCATTGCATTTGAAAAACTAATTTTTGAAAAATACTCCAAAAACAGGGATCCAAACAGAGCCATTATCTTATAGTGGATCTGTTTTGGAATGTTCAATAAATTTTTGTCTCCTTTGGACAGCAGTCAACTTAACATGTTTTTTATTAGTTTTGAATAGTGACCTTTTAATCCTTCATAATTTCGGCCTTATTTCAACAAGCAAGGGATATAAGGATATTTATGAAACAATGTGCATTTGGAAAATACACTAATTTCCTATACTTTATTCTAAAACGATGAATTTTCCATTGTCACTTTTTGCATTGTGAACAATTTTACACCAACACAAAAGTAACAATGAAGAACTTTTCTATATAAGAAAATTTTATTAAAACAATATTGTAGCAATTTTTGTGATTTGATATATGAAAAAAAAAATTTAATGAAAGACGCGCTTATGATATAAGTTGAAAATTTTTACAAAAAAAAAAGGTGTATGGCTATGAAAGATGGTACAATGCTCAATAAGCAGGCATCTTCTCTTCTCTCTCTCTCTCTTTTTTTTTTGTTCTAACGATAATGTTTGTTTAGCCTAGTCTAAGGAAAGGAAAAGCCGACGAGATTTTTCCGTTGAAAGAAGTCACAATTAAATGATAAGGTGAAAGGTAAGGGTTCACCATAACCAATACTTAAATATATGTCAGTCCAATACATAGTTGTAATATTCAAATATTTCTATATCTAACCAAATAATCGCAAGCGTACGCTTTATTTTCCTAATCAAAGACTCTAAAAATAGACCCTGTGACCGCTAAGTTGAGTAGAGTTTCCTTAGTTTTGACAAAAGCAATCATCAAAGCCTACCAAAAGGGTAAAAAATGGAAAAGATGAAAAAAAGAGAGCATTCATTGTAGGATACAAAAATGTTGATAAGTTAATTAAAGAATCTAGTTGCTTCTGATTTCTGAAAGTTATAGCAATTGCAAGAAAACCTTGGTTCAACAGAGCTATGATCATTGATCTGTGGTGGAATTGCTTCAAACTTCTTTACATTGCACCAGTCACTAACAAGTATACATCTAACATGGGGCAAGTCAATTCGACATAATAATGTCTTCAATTTACGATGATAAAAAAACTGACTTTTGATAACTCACTCTTGATCAAAATGAAATGATTAATCCACCTTTTTGCCTTATCCTAAAGATATTTTGTTTCTTTTTTACAAGTATTTGTATCATAGCTGTTTGATGTATTTTCTGTTATAGTACAAATTTATGAAATGAATGATCAGCTCTATCAAAAAGCGGTGAAAAAAAAGAAAAAAAATTGATGTCCAACCGCTCCCCGAATCACTCCACCAAACTGATCCTAAATTAGTAGTAGTATTTGGTTTCTTAGGTTTCGTCTAATTGAAATAATAATAATGTGATTGCATGACCTCTGGAATTTTATTTGCCAACGAACTTCTGTATTTTTTTAACTCTTAAAATAAATTTTCAGCTAAACAAATCCAACTTACCTTACCAAATGCTAAACATAATAGTTGTCAGCCTACATTTTTAAAAGGCTCGTCAAAAATAAATTTCCCAAAAAAGTTTCACCCTCTCGTGAATTATTTTGAGCAGAGGTCGAAGCCTCTTTCGTACACAATTTTTTTTTTCTTTTCCGATATAAACAATCCAAGCATTCTTCACATTTGCCTGTCGGTCCATCCTAATCCTTTCCTCAATGAATGCAAAGGTGCTTAGTGGATCGAAGGAATTGATAGATTTTGGAATTTTTTGCCGTTGAACAACACCGAGCTAGCGGTCTCTCTTGTATTCTTCTTCACCATTACGTACTTTCCTGATTCTTGGCTCTGATGGGTCAACTATAAGATAGTTAACTCAAAAATCAAAATTATGAAATTTGTTTCAAACCCACATGATTCCATTTTTTTCTTGCGTAAAAAAGAAGTTTGAATGACTTCGATTTTAATCACTCTCACCAATAGAATATACTTTCAAAACTATAGATCATTCACATGAATTCTTATACACATCGTTCATCAACACAGTCCTCACGTCAGCAAAATCTTTCATGAAAAGGTAGTCCATCGTTATTAATTGAACCAATTTGTATTGACTTTGTCCCTGTGATCTTTCTTATTGTAGAAGAATGTATCTTTAATTACGTTGCGCGCAGTAAGTGGCAGTTGAAATTTTTACTGAAAATACTCGTGAGAGATAAGTTGTGAAACTCGTCGATCCTAATAGAAATCAAATTCAGAAGAGCCCGGTAATGTTTTTCGCGAGATAAATGCACTCCAGAGTGATTAGGGGGCGTAATTGTGCTAAAGAACAAAAAGTCATTTAGTACGCTACGAATAAATTAAGATTGCCCTGAAAAGTCTTTGTGGCTGCACGCAACACATAGGTCCCAGGGATGGATCCATCAAATTCAGAAAACCCTCAAATTAAATTAAACAGCTTCTTCAATATCCTCAACAACGTTCAATTTCAAACACCAAAAGAATTCTTCTAGGAGGCAAATTCTTGGGTCAGAACCCAAATCCACAGTAAACGTAAATGCAAAGAAAAGAAAACCACTCAGAGAACGACAACCAATTGATTACCAGATATACTACTCGTAATTAATGACTGATGAGCGACAGGGAAAAACATATCAGGAAACGCGTGGAACACTGTGACAGTACTCACGGCCGCAATAGAAATACACACTGGCGCGGTAAAGTGTTAAAAGTTGGGTCAATTAAATGAAGCAGCAGCAGCAGCAGCCTGGCTAGGTGGTAGCTAGAGGTATTGTTGAAGCATTTAAGAGCTCATCTTAAATATCCATCACTCAATTCTGATCAAAGCTTCATTATACTCAACCACCCCATTTATTTCACGGAGAAAAAGATGGCGTGTTGATCCGCGGAGGATGTGCAAAAGAGCGAGCCCTAGAAAGAGAGAAGATGTGTACACACGCATAATGCACTCAACTTGAATTGGAATTGCATGTGAGGATAATAAATGAGACGATTGGGCTGGGTGGTGAAAAGTCCTATGTGAAGGCGGTCCCAGGCGCCTATTAGACAGCCGGCTCTGAGAGGAGGGGCTGCTGCTGACCGGTGTCGTCGTGGTCTCTCACCCTATCTGTCTCCGTCTCTTCCTCTCTCTCGCGGGTGGGTCACGTGCGTCGTGCTTCCCAACCCCACTGACAGTAACCCTACCAAGCAAGAAGTCGGAGCGTCACTCGGGTCGAGTTTTGCTCTGAAACGGAGAGTTTCTAGCGTCATCGAGCCGAATCGAGCTCTTTTAACTGTCTTGTTTAGAATTTGAGCTAGATTCAAGTGGTATTCAAGTTCGATTGGGTTTTCTTGACTCAGTTTTAAAACAAAGCTAATCACAAAATTTTCAATAATCAATCCGTTATTGTAAAGGCCAAAATGCTTAAAAACTAAAAATTATTAAATTTCGAATATGCTCATGCAGCCTCACGAGCATTTTGAAATTGAAACTCGATTTGGTTTATTATTCAAGCAGCTTGAGCAAGATGAAACTGACTCAAGCCGAGTTTTTCTTGAGTTGAGCATTGAGCTAATTATGAGTGGCATTGTTCACTTGCGCCGCTAATTTGTACAACTATCAGTCTCAATTACACCATATAATCCATGCGCTGAAACAGTACACGTAGATATTAAAATAAGGAATATGGACATTAAAATAATAGCATGCGAAAATACGAACACTTTTTGTCACTCATTCATTAAAAGTTGAGTCACATGACCAATCAATCTTGTCCATTTAAATTCAAATTAATACTTTTATACCATGAATTGCCCCATGGAATTGGTCTAACAATTTGCATAGTTACTCAACCCGACTCCCCCCTCAAATGACGCTAAATGAATTGATATAAGCACGCGGATGAGAATGAGAAGTTGAGACTTAAATATCAATGAGCAGTTAAGACTTAGATACCTTTGACCTCCCATTAAAATGGGAAGAATTATATCTTTTGTATAGTAATATCATCTTAGTGACAATTTCGTCATTATGTGCAAAAAATATAGTTTAATATACTTGATTTCGTCATTTGCAAAAATAGATGGAGATTCCCACTCCTCATATACCACCTCAACTGAAATACCGCAACGAATCTTCTGTCCCACATCCTGTGTCATTTTTTATTATATTGCTATTTCTCCATCATAAACATCATATTTTAGTTCTTTTTTGTTTCCTTAAGATTCAATAACTATTAATTAAGTAATACACAAAATTTAACAAAATTAAAAATCAAAATGCATAAAAAAAATGAGATTTTTTATGATTTTTCTGC